ACTTCTCTGTTTTTACGTTTCTGTTTCGGTGTGTTACATAAGTTGGCCTTTTGTCTCAGAAACAAATTGGTCCCTTGGTGTGTGTTAAGAACTAAAGCTGCAGAAGAAGACGTCTTGGAGCTGAGGTTTCTTCACAGTTCTCTCCACATAAATTAATGGCAGAGCAAAAATAAGAGTCCGTGAGATTTTTCTTCTTTAATTTGAGATTTCTCTACTCTTCTTTTTAATCCGAGAGAGCTTCAGTTTTACTTGTAATCCAAGTTGTAATGTAATTGAATAGTATAGAAATAGTTTTTTTTTAGTTCTGATATTGAGTAGAGACCACAGTGTCTTTAACTTCCATCATGATGGTTTGTGCAACATGCCTTGACAACAATGATAATTAATACCAGAAAGTTCATAACACTTGCACTTAGTGTGAACTTGTAATAAACAAACCCAAAATCCAGTTAAGATCAAGGAAATCGGCAAGAAAATTCGGTTTTAGCACACGAAAACCGGATGGCAAACCAGGATTCTCTCAAACGAACTCAAAGAAGCAAACATGTATTGACATTTTCTAAACGTATGGAGAAGAAAGAAGCTGTACAAATCTTGGTTTTGTTTTTGTTCTTGTAACTCTAAAAAGCTTCGAGAGGAGAGCTATGTCTAAGTGCTTCTTTAGCTTCAGTCTCCATCCCAAGATTTAAGAGACAAGACGCTTGTAAGTAGAGACTCTGGCGATGCGACCTGGCTTGCATTCGCGAAACATATTGGTCATTAGGTAACAGAGACACCGTCTGGTTAACACTGGAGCTCCGCTCATGAACTGTTGATACACTTTATACCTTCTTCTTGAAGCAGACGAAGACGAAGAAATTCATATCTTTATGCTATCTTTTTCTTTTGCAAGACAAAGATAAAGGTTTTCTCGATGATACCTCTGAGTGGAGTTCGATTGCCGTTTCATAATCCGTAGCACAAAATGCGGCATCTCCATACTTCTTGTAATTCATATTCTCTTGCACTCCACACTTGGAATGAGAAGTGCAATATGTATGTATGTATATTTTGTTATTTCCTCATAATAAGATATTATTGACTTGTATTCAAGAGATTATGTTTCTCACAAACATATTTTGTGACCACCACATGATGTGGTCCACATCATCCTCTCCATACCCGATTTTCTCGAGTATGCCACTTAAATCCTTATCGTTATATTCTTTGGCGGAGATGTTCAAATCCAGATGCTTTCCGTAATGCCTATGTTATACCTATTGAATTTGATGCTTCTTATGTTTCTTAGGACAAAAGAAACAAAAACAAGTTTAGGTTTTGTGTTGTAACCAGAACTCTCTGTTTTGTAAAGACTTAGTATTTGTACGAGAGAAAGAAAAAACAGAGTAATTGGAAACTTGTAACTTTTATTAAGACAACAACACACCTACTATATAGTTGTGTTACATACTGAAGGTACATGACTCTTTGCACTTTGTAACCTTTGAGAAACAAATAACTACCCAGCCTTATGCACCGTTACAAGACACACCCGTAGACTTTAAATACACACACACTTAGATAACTTAATAAAATACGACCAAACTCAATATAAACCAACAATACCCTGCAGGGTAATAATTATGACTTATATATTCGTCGTGTAACATCCAAATTTCTCAGAGGAAGTAACTCGTAAAGTGTTTTTTTACCTCTTGTATGCGCCAAAATGAGGATGCTAGGTTTATATCTTGGGCGATAACACCATCAGAAACTAAACCTTTTTTGGACAGTTGTTTTAAGTGCTTTC